TAGCTCACTGGTTAAGCACCACTGGGTTCAATCCCTGTTATAAAACAAAAACAAACCAAATAAAAAAACCCAAAATAATTTAGAGCAGTGCTTGGTGGAAAGTAAATGCTGTATCTATTAGATACTGTAATTCATTATTAATACACACTTAATTTAAATTCAATTATTATGATAATATATGCAAGAAAATATGAAGATATTTTAATCACCTTAATTCAGATTTTCCAACAACTTGGTAATAACCTTACTTTTATACTATAATTTAGCAACCTTAAAATGGCAAACTATTCAGAGATTCAAAATCGTTTAAAAAAATGTTAATAGTGTAAAAAGTGTATGTAACATATTGACTAGAAGGTTAAAAAGCAATCTGCCAAAAAGAAGTACAAAGTCTATGTTCCAAACTTGGTTTCTTAAAAATGCAAAACCATGGAGGTGAGGGACAAGGAAGACAGACAAGATTTTTTTAAATGTCAACAATAGATACCTTTTGATAACGATACTACAAGTTAAAAAAAAAAAAGAGTATCTTTAAAATATGCCTTATAAAAGCTACCTAAGCCTGTCTGTAAGTTGTTTTTTAAAAGTTTATAAGTAATAGCCAGGTGTGGTGATACACACCTGTAATTCCAGTGATTTACAAGGCTGAGTGAGGCAGAAGGAGCTCAAATTCAAGATCACCCTGGGCAACTTACAGATCTTGTCTTAAATTAAAAATTAAAAAGGTAGCTCAGTGATAAAACAGCCCTCAGATCAATCCTAGAACTGAAAAATAATAATAATAAAATTAATAGCCAGGCATGCTATGCTGGTGCATGCCTGAAATCCCAGCAGTTGGGGAGGCTGAAGCAGGAGGCTTCTAAGATCAAAGCCAGCCTTAGCAACTTAGCAAAGCTCCAATAAAACTTCACAAGACCCTGTCTCTAAATGAAATATAAAAAGACTGGGGATGGGCTGGGGTTGTAGCTCAGCGGTAGAGCGCTCGCCTAGTATGTGTGAGGCCCTGGGTTCGATCCTCAGCACCACATAAATAAATAAATAAATAAAATAAAGATATTTTAAAAAAAAGGCTGGGGATGTGGCTCAGTGGTTGAGTGCCCCTGGGTTCAATCCCCAGTACCAAAACAAACAAACAAACAAAACAAACAAAAATTAAAGTATTAAATCAAGTATTAAAGTGAGCACCTAAAATTCTATTTCCTCTTGTTAGTCATTCCATGTTTCACTGCTATAGAACTTTTATACTAAATTAAATATACAAACATTGAAAAACCACACACTGCTCAATACTTTGTTTCTACTTTTAAAGAAAAGGACAAAAACTAAAGATTGTGTGTTACAAAACAGTAGAAAATGTCAGAAAAGAACAATGAAAAGTTTAGTGTTATTCTCTCAAAATTCCATTGCTCCAAAAATCAGAGTTAAGATAGTATTTTCTCTATGCTACAGTTGGTTCATGCTAACATTTAGAAAAGCATTTGTGATAGCTTTTTACCCACCTAATCCTCAAGCCTTTTCCCTTAAGCATCAGGGCACCTTCTCTCTTCTATTTTTTAAGTGGTAACATTCTAGAGTCTTTTTTTTTTTTTTTTTTTTGAGGAGTGCTGGGGATTGAACCCAGTGCCTTCTGCATGCAAGGCAAATACTCAAGCAACTGAGCTATATCCCCAGTCCTAGAGTCKAATTTTTAAGTGGTAAAATTCTAGAGTCAAATTCTAGAGAGGTTATCTCAGTCATATTCACTGTTTTAACAATTGATACAGATGTCAATTTTGATACTCTAAAATATTTGAAATTTTACCTACAATCCCTCTACTGCACTTGAGGAATAAGAAAAGTTAAAGCTTAGAATTATTCACCGAACATCCAACATTCTCAATACAATTTTCTAGAATTCTGAAGAAAGGCATCAGTGATTTTTCAATCAGTAGATTAAACAATACCTTATTTACACTATAACAAAATGACTCAATTGTTTTTGATAAACTAAAAATTGTAACTATTATTTTTAAATCTCTAAACTTCCATATGTAGTAATGCCAATTTAGCCTGACATAAAATTCTTGAAGAGAAATAGTTAAAGAAACCTGATAATAAACCTCAGAAAAAATAGTCTTCTTTAGAATCTGATAAGAACACCTTATTAAAATAACATGTCAGCTTTCTGAGTACTGAAGTACACATTTCCAAAGTTGGAAAAATAAAATAACGTCAGCACCCATAAACATCCAGAACATGCCAAAAATTACATAAGCAAAAAGCTTATATGCTCTGCCAGAACTTGTTATAAATTCCATGTATAAATAATTTAAATTATTAGACCATATGCCCATAATTCTGTAAATAAATGTGACATGCAATATATAATAATAATCATAATAGCCCTCTTTATCACTTCATTTCTACTCTTTACCTCCTACAATCAACAAAACCCATTACTTTTTCTTTGGTACCAGGAATTGAACACAGGGCACTCAAGCACTGAGCCACATCCCCAACCCTTTTTGTATTTTATTTAGMGACCAGGTTCTCACTGAGTTGCTTAGGGCTTCAATAAATTGCTGAGGCTGCTTTAAACTTGCAATCCTCCTGCCTCAGCTTCCTAAGCTGCTAGGATTACAGATATGCACCAAGGTGCCTGGCTACAAAATTCATTACTTTAACACTAATAAGAAATAGAAAACTTGAGAATAGACATTCAGTAGTAAAAAAAAAAAAAAGTATTCTAAATGGACTGCACCTTACTATCCTTTCATTCCAAACCTATAACAGTTCCTACTATTTTCTAAAGCTGGGAAAACATCTTTAGAAATACATTAATGAAATGCATGAATTAAGATACATAACACATGCACACACAAAGATAAATTAAAATCGTAATAGGCCTTAGAAAAACAAAATTAAAAAGTTAACAAATTTCATGGTCCATAACTTCARTTATTCAGTGGACAAAATGATAAATCAAACTACTCAGAAATCTACATACAAAGTAGATAGATGAACCTAAATTCAATCCAATCTGGGCTTGATCCTCCTCCAGTAGAGGGAGCAGAATCATAATACTCAACTTGTCAGAAGAAGGAAGTTTTGTGTTTTTTTTAAAGAAATTTCAGATCTTTTTTTTTTAAATGCCTTTATTTTATTTGTTTTTTAATTTTTATGAGTTGCTGAGGCTCAAACCCAGGGTCTCTCGCATGCTAGGCAAGCGCTCTACCACTGAGCCACAGCCCCAGACCCTGAAGGGAGATGTTTTTAAGCACCTTTTAAGTATGTTTACATCCATCTAGATATTTGAAAAAATATGTGTAAAATACTCTTTGAAATATGACTAAGCTGGGTGTGGTGATGCACACCTGTAATCCCAGTAATTTGGGAGGCTGAGACAGGAGGATTCCAAGTTTGAGACCAGTCTCAATCAACTCAGGGAGCCCTAAGCAACTTAGTGAGACCTCATCTCAAAGAATAAAAAGAGCTGGGCACTCAGTCTCTTGGTTCAATCCTGAGAGGGAGGGAGGGAGAAAGGAAGGAAGGGAGGAAGGAAGGAAGGAAAAAATACAACTAAAGTAAACCTTATGGAAAACATAAGGATTTTCTTTCTTTCTAAATGCTTTAAGTCTAATGAAAAACTGATCTCAAAATTTTAATATCAAGAACCATGGTGTATTTTGTTGTCCAGAGTCTCAAAGATAGCCAAGGTATTAAAGCATTTTATAAACCCCTAATTTAACAAGAGTTCACAGAAATGTAAAATATTACATGAAGTATATTTTTAATTATAAAAGTAATGTACTTAACATGACAAAAATTATATAAAACAAATGGAAGAAAAATGTAACTGTACTACCCTAAACCAAACTATTTCTTCTGGTATTTTTTAATGTACATATTTTCAAATTGCTATAAGTGTAATTATAAAAACATTTATTAAGTACTTAAGTATAAGCTAGGCACAGTCCTCAGCACTCTTACACATTGCAACTGCTAATCATTTCAAAAGCTTTACAAGATAGATCCTACTATTATTTCTTATTTTAAAGACAAGAAAAAAGAGACACATAAAAATTATTAAACTAGCTCAAAGTCATACAACTCATAAGAAAGAGAAACTAAGATTCAAACATATGTGCTCTGGAACCAGAGCCTCTTCTCTAAACCATTTGATCATAATTTTGAATTATGCTTCCCTCTCATCATTAACATATTTTCAGTGTTAGTTTTCAAAGACTTTTTAATACTTAAATTAGACCATCTAATATAGGTATCTAATATGGATATGCTGTTTCCAGTTGTCCCTTAGAAAAACTGTAAGGTAAATATCTACAGGTATACTACTTTTGAAATGTTTAGGTTATTCTAATATGCCATCAAATTGCTTTCTAAAATATTTATTTTAATTGACAAAGCCACATAAGTACCAATTTCATCAAAACTTTGAAGCATTAAGCATTAACATTCTAAAAATTTATTTGACTGATAAAAATGAAACCACACTCCACACTGAATTAATTATTACTAAAATTGCACATTTCCCTGGTTGTTTACTAATATAATTTCCTACTTTGTGAATTTCATTTATGAGCTTTATCCAGTTATCAGCTACAATTTTAAGATCTGTAATCAATTTATATGAGCTTTTTACAGGAATGTTAACAGTATGTCCATCACATCTGCAATAAAAATTTCCCAGTCTGTTGTTTCTTATTTTATTATGGTTTTAAAAGTTTTATTTTTGGTAAAATCACCTTCCAATAAAGGTATTAATAATTAAAAGTTACAAAAAAGGTTTTAAAACCTCACAAATTTCTAGACATAAGTTAGTCTATTGCTTTGAGGACATCAATGAATCACTTTCAGTAAGACTTTTAAAGCAAGATAAACCTATGTTAAAATATGCATATTCAATAGAATTCCAAGTTTAAGAAATTTTGAATAGGCCACAAATAAAACGAACTCAATGAATAAAATCCCACTCTACTCCAAATATCAAAGGAGCTACATACCTGTCGTTGTAAACACAGGCGATTTCTGTCGTGTAAATGCTGATGATTAGAAAATGATGAATGCCAACTCCGAGCCTGACATTGCAACTGAGTTTGAGCCATATCAGAAGGCCGAGCTACAATATGTGAAGTAAAGTGTCGATCAAGGTCATGATCTAAAACATGATTTGAATTATCTTGTCCAAATGTTGACTCATCAAATTGCGGAAGCAGACCCTCCTGAAGGAGGTCCTCTGGGTCAAGTCCTGTGAATGGCTCAGATTGAGACTCCACTTGATGAAGTAAATTGTCTTCTAAAGATGAAAAGCCATTGGTTTCTACATGATCACTGAAATGGCCCATTTGAGTTCCTGAGTCAACAGGATCTGGAAAGTTCATATGCACAGGAGATAATTTTGAATTGCTATAATTACCCTGAGGATGTGATGAATGCAACATTTGGAAATTATTTGAATTCAATGATGCATTGGGGTTTAGGATATGCTGAGTAGATTCCTGCTTGATTCCCCTATGAGGTGAAAAGGAATTACTTCCAGTAAAATCAGATAAAGTCTGATTTGCATGATTGGGTGCAAGAACTGCAGAGGACTGAAGGAGACTGTTGGGTGAAATATGATTACTAGAAAAGGAATAATGTGAAGAAAACTGCTGAGAATTACTGACAGAACAAGAAGTCATATTTGGAGAAGGTCCATTAAAATTTCCTTCTTGATGATTGTTACACTTGAGGAAGTGTACTGAAGGATTTGATGTTTGAGAAAACTGCATCGAAAGAGACTGTTGTGAAGTAGATGCATTAGTAATTTGTGATGGGTGGTTAACACTGACTCTATGAGGACCAGGAACATTAACATCCATAAAATTTTTAGACTGGCTAAGAGAATTTTGCCCTGGGGTAAGAGTATTTCTGTTTTGTTGTGAGCGCAGTGAAGTACACTGTGTTTGTTGTTCATTGGCCTGAAATAAGGCAAAGTCATGGTGTGCCACAAAGCTTTTATTTTGATGCATAGAATGCGAATGTCCTTGTTGGTGAAAAGGAGATCCATTTTGATTAGAAATGTTAGTAGCTGTCTGATGACCCCACATCGGACTGCCATCTGCCACATCTGGAAACAAACCATTGGGCTGGTTTKGGGGATGGATAGGAGAACAATTAAACTGAGAGTGTGGTGATAACACATGTTCAGCTGGGCTACCAAAAGACTGATTAACTTGGTGAAATTTCATTGTATCAAATTGATTTAACTGTTCAAAATCAGTCATCTTCTGATGTGTTGGTGTACCATGAACATGGTTCAGTGAGTCTATATGCAAAGGTTCAAACTCTGCACCCAAGTTCAATTCATCAACTAGTGAAACAGGTCCTGGTTGTACAAATGCATCATCTGATAAACCTTCTAAGGTCTCACCAAAAAGGTTGGCATCATCAAAAAAGTCCATCATTGGATCTGTCATCTTTAAAAGTCAGTAACAATCTGGGTTGTTCACTCTGAATAGAGTATATTTAGCTTCTCTGTGGTAGATATTATTAGATCATTACCGAAGGTCATCAACTAATCCAAAACAGGCCATTGTTCATTATTGCTCTAGATAATATGTCATCAAATGTAGAATCCTAGGGAAAAAAAAAAGAATAAAAACAACTTAAATTTAATGATTATTCATTAAACTTACATAAACAAAGCTTATACATGACTTTAAAAGCATAAAATAAGTGTACAATATTTTTGTAGAATAATAATTGTAAACTGCTCATTAACATTCCCTAAAAGGGGTGGGGGAATCTCCTAGAGTAGACATAAAAATGCATTTAAAGCAATAGGGCTGAGTTGGTTACTCTGGTGCATGCCTGTAATCTTATTGATTCAAGAGGCTGAAGGAGGCAGATCACAAATTCAAAGCTAGCCTCAGCAACTCAGCAATCTTGTCTCAAAATTAAAAATAAGTATTGGGAATGAAGCCCAATGGTAATGTGCTCCCAGGTTCAATGTCCAGGACATCCGCTACACACACACACAAACACACACACACACACACACACACACACACACACACACACACACAGCAATAGGCCTGGGGATAAAGCTAAGTGGTACAGTACTTATCTAGCATGTTCAAGGCCCTGGGTTTCATCACCAGTACCAGAAAAATAATCATAACTTTTTTATAATTCATATTTATTATGATGAAAGAAAGTAAACCTAGAAATAGTTCATTGCACTTTCTCCCATACCATGAAATGGTCATCACTCCCCAGCACTTTTCATCAATGTAAAAAATATTTATGTGGGCTGGGGAGATACTTCAGTTGGTAGAGTGATTGCCCAGCATGCACAAAGCCCTGGGTTCAATCCCCAGCTAAACCAAAAAAAAAAAAAAAAAAAGAATTATGTCTTACACTTCAAAATATGTTAACATAGCTGATATCAGACCTCCTAAGATTAGTAAGTACATTGCAATATTTTAGTTTAACCTCTTGAGCAGATAAATCCATTATTTCATAAGGTATATGTAGAATTGCATCAAGAAGAGCAACTACTTGAGATTATAAAGTAGCCCAAACTGAAATCACAATTAGTCATCTGGTTAGCTGACAGCACAGATAATATGCTGAAAGATATTCACACATATTTCTATCATGGCTTTGTTCATCTACATAGAATACCACCTTATAGCCAAATAATTTACAAATCTATGAAGCAAAAGCAAGCATCTTCCTGTAATTGGCTTAATTTATAACTCCATCTTCAATGCCATTCTGTTGAATCATTTGGAATATACATGTTGCTTATTATTTTTAGTAAACTGTCCAAATACTGAGAATCACACTGAGAAGAAAAAATAGTAGCTAAGCATTAAATTGGTCTTATGATAGTCTCATGTGAAAAACAATTATGTATATAGAGTTGCCCCTTGGTATGTGAGGGGGGGCTGGGTATCATAATTCCCTCTTTTCCTGGAGAAATACCAAACTCCATGGATGCTCAAATCCCTTATTTAAAATGCATGCTTGGTGTGGTGGTGCACACCTGTGATCCCAGCAGCTCGGGAGGCTAAAGCAGGAGTATCACAAGTTGATAACCAGCCTTGGCAATTTAGCATGGCCCTAAGCAACTTACTGAGACCCTGAATTAAGATAAAAAGGCTGGGGATGGCTGAGTCCTTAAATGCTCCTGTGTTCAATCCCTGGTACCAAAAAAAAAAAAAAAAAAAAATGAAAGAAAGAAAAAGTAAAAACAGGTAAAACAGCTGAGCACTTTTATGTTAATAAACTTCACAAATATTCATTATATACAAATCATCTCTAGGCAACATGTAATATCTAATACAATGTAAATGTTATATGATCTTCAGTCGATTGAACCTTTTGATGAAGAACCCAAAGCTACAGATGGCTAACTGTATATGTTTATATATAGGCACACATATATATTACTTATGTGTAAAAAGGATCTAATAGATTACTTGCTAATATTAAATAGCTATTATTGTTTAGGTTTGCATCATTCTAAACGTTCTTAATACAGATAATTTTTATTCTACCCCAACTGTCTTGCATGGAGAACCACAAATGAAGGTATTTACTCTTGTACATTTGAGTTTATTAAAAAACCACACACATACATGAAATAGGAAATGTAAATGTATATGTATATATTTGGCAGCACTAGGGATTGAACCTGGGGGCCTTCTATCACAGATGTACCATCTTTAAACCTTTTTTATTTTTTAAAATTTTGAGGCAGGGTCTTGCTAACTTACCCAGACTGGGTCAAACTTTTGATCTTTCTGCCTCAGCCTCCTGAGTCACTGTGACTACAAGCATGTGCTGCCCTACCCAGCTCCTAAGCAAAATTTTTGTTCAATATTTAAATGTAGAAATGCTTGCAAAAACTGAGGAGTAAAAACTACCAAACCCAGATTCATTTTACCTAGAAATTAACATATTAACAATCACAATGATACTCATGTGCTTTTATAAACATCATTTTAGAAAATGTAAAATATAGAAAAAGAAGAAATTATTTTTCCAGGGCTGGGGATATAGTTCAGTTGGTAAAATGCTTGTCTTGCATGTTCAAAGCCCTGGATTCAATCCCCAGAATCACCAAAAAAAAAAAAAATTATTTTTCCAGATTTTACCATTGTGAGACCAAATAGATGGAAGACTGTGTTCCCAGGACAAAGCATTAGCCAATATGGTAGTTCAAGGCTAGGTGTGGTGGCACACACCTATAATCCCAGCAGCTCTGGAGGCTGAGGCAGGAGGATCTAGAGTTCAAAGACAGCCTCAGCAATTTATCGAGGCGCTAAGCAACTCAGTGAGACCCTGTCTAATAAAATATAAAACAGGACTATGTATGTAGCTCAGTGGTAGAGTGCCCTTGAGTTCAATCCCTGGTACCCCCCTTCCCAAAATGGTAGTTCATGGTCCCCAAATGGTAGCTCTTCATATTCAGCTTCAGACACTTTGACTAGGGAACATCTATGTATACCTGAGCAATTAAATCAGAAAAGCAATGCCTTCTGATTTTATATAAATGGATGATTATTTATCAAATGGAACATATTTTTAAAAAGCACAATGGAAGTTATGAAATCCAATATGTCACTAGTTGATTATAAAGTACATCATTAGTTGATATAAGATGAAGAAAAATGCTGCATTAAACTATGACACTTATAATTTTTTTTTTTTTTTAGTTAGTTATTTGGTGATACTGGGGATTGAACCTAGGGGCCCTCTACCCCATGGTTGTTTTTTTTGTTTTTTTTTTTTTTTGAGACAGGGTCTCACTAAGTTGCTTATGCTAGCCTTCAACTTGCAATCCTTCTACCTCAGCCTGCCAAGTAACTGAGATTACAGACATGTGTTAACACACCTAGCAAAAATAAAAGAATTTTTAAAAGACTATTCTGAAGCTGAGTATGGTGGTGCGCATCTGTAATCCTAGTGATTTAGGATTACAGGAGGATTCCAAGTTTAAGCCCAGCCTCAGCAACTTAGCAATACCCTATCTCAAAATGAAAATGAATAAATAAATAAAAAGGAATGGAAATATTAACTCACTGGTAGAGCACCTCTGAGTTCAATCTCCAATATAAATAAATATTTAAAATAAATAAATACATACATACATACATACTATTCTGGACATTCATGATATGCCAGAGTAATATTCTATATATGAAAGAACTGGAGACACTATTTGAATTTCTGTACATTATGGTAGATCAGCTAAAACAGAAAGTGTTTTCTACCAGAAGTTTACTACAAGTGGCAATTTTAATTAAGAAAACATTTATTTATTCATCCAAAAAATATTTATTCATCAATAACTTCAGGTATTAAGATGATAAATAACTGACCTCTGAAGGGAACACAAGTAAACAGATCATTGCTAATACATGTTATGTGTGCTCGGATAAAGGTAAGCACAGAGAAGGAACATCAAATGTCAGAAAATGAACACAGATACAAATACTATACTAGTAGAAGATACATATTTAATATGTGACAGATAGTAGTCAAAGTGGTGGAGACAGAATACTGAACAGTGGTGATGGGGAGACAGGGGAAGGAAATGGAAAGCTGTAGTTCAAAGGATACAATATAGCAGATAATGTAGGATGAAAAAGTCCAGAGATCTAATATACAATATAAGGACAAGTGGATAGGAAAATGGGTAATAAGTTGATAAGAAAATTACAGTAATTACGCAAACAGTAAAATCTAGATGGTGAATACATAAGTGTCCACTATAAAATCTTTTATACTTTGTTTTATGTTTGAAAATTTTAATGATATTAGAAGGAAATTGTTTTTTTGAAAAAGACACATACTTATTTTTATTCTTTCCTGAAAAAACATGTTGGCAATGAGGTCTTCAAAATTCAGAGACCAAAAAAAAAAAAAAAATGAGAAATGAGGTAACAGAAATAGGATAATATATAAATCACAAAGACACTAGATAAAATGATCTAGAAGACATCGAAAAAAATGAGAACACTAAGAAAACAACCAAATTACCTTGCAGAACCTCTAAAATCAAAAATCGTCAGCACCAGGTATCTCTTATTTTTGGAAGGAAATCACTGTTGAGATAATTTTACATCATTCATCAGCCAAGTRCTGTCATTTTGGAATATCCCAATTAATTTGGCTACTGAATAAAATACAAAAAAGAAAAATAAAAGTAATCAATCTTACTTTAACAACCACACACACACACACACCAAAAAACCCCCACAAACTATAAAAAAAAAAATGCACATAAAAAATCCAGTGAGCCATGTTTTCTGGTTTGAACAGTTTATTCTACAACTGACAAAATTGTCATTTAAATTCCTCTTTTATGATCTATTGTATTAATTCTAGTAAATGACTACCAGTTTCCAACTTCATAAAAATATTATGTCAGTCTAACTTTAAGTTATTATTTAATTAAGCACATGTTTATGAACAGTCCAATTACATCCAAAGCATCTTTACACAAACAAAAAATATCCCTGCCCTCAGGAAATCGAGACTCTTTATGGGGGGAAAAAGAAAAGGAATTAACAAAAACATATTATATACTGAATAAAATATGGTAAATATGGCCTGAGACTCAT